ACAATGCACTAATTACAGCCTAACAAATAAGACAATTGTAACTTAATCCTGCCACGGCCTTTTAAATTGTTGCAAACATTATGGTACCGTTCCCCGATTCTGCAATCTAATGAGGAAGTGTTATTTTGACACAGTTAATGAAATACTTTATCACGCTTCCATCCAGAAATTAGAGGAAAGTTACGAGACTGATAGGCGTAAGTTATTTAAGTTCATAGATTTCAAGTCTAGATTAAGAAAGGATAAAGGTATGGTTCTCACTTCAGATAATTAAAAAAAAATCCAGAGTATGACGGACCAGAAGTCAAAAAGGGTTCGGGATCTGATAAATAAGAGGCGTGACAAGAAATTGCTTAGCTATGGGATAATAAGAAAGCGTAAGGCCAAGCCAACCCAGGCAAATTTTGATGGTTCTCTGTTGAAGCCATCAACTGGTACAGATGACGATTGGACTAATGTAGTAAACCTATCTTCAATCCACCTTGATGCTGAAACCACGGATCTCTTAAAGAAGGGGTTACATTTTTCACCAGGTAATGAAGGAAATGTTCTTAGTGATATCCTGGTGGAAGTTGTCAATATAACGGATAAATATCCAAAAGATACATTCGGGAGATGGAACTGGAAATAACCCACGGATCCTGACACATCAAGAACCGATAAAATTGAACCAATTGGCTGGTATTCGAAAAAAAACAAATGAATGATCAAATAGTTCTTCAGGCTTACAAGGGAGGAGCGACTGTTGTAATGGACAGGAAAAAGTACACGGAGAGAATGGAAAGTATGCTAAGCGATCGAAACACTTAGCAAATACTAAGGAAGGCTCCAACCACGAAGATCAACGGGACACTGAAGAATATGCTCAAGAAAATGCATAATAATGGGAAAATTGACAGATGGATGATTAAATCTTAATTCAAAAATGACGCAAGACCACCGACAGCCTACGGACTACCGAAGATACACAAGGAAGCAAATCCGCTAAGACTAAGTGTCAACAACAAGCACGGAGCAATACACAAACTAGCGAAATTCATTTGCTTGAAGCTCAAGAAAGTAAATG